AGACATCTGAACTCTATACTCCACCAGAGGGTAGTGAAGAGCCTGTGTCTTACGTTCTGGCAAAAGTTTGCTATTTATTAAGTCCAAAGAAGCAAGTGCAGAAAGACTACTGCAGCCGGCTAAAGGGTAGCACACAGTGGACGAGAAGCTCCGCCAGCAGAGGGTCTTTAGTGCTGGTGCGGCAGATAGTAGCCTAGGAAAGTGCAGCTATAGTATTGCTAGGTATAAATTTAGTGGTATGAAATTTAATACATTTAGTAAATTTATCACGTTTAGTACAGGGAGATTCACCCGAAAGAGGCCCTGAATATTGTAACTCCCGTTACTATGAAGCAATCTGAACAAAAAAAATACACTACATACCTTTACCTATGTGTAATCTATTGCATTACTTGTGATGCTGGAAGTGGTTAAACATTGCAATGGCTGTCCGGTGCTTACCTCATCGCTCCAACATAGGGGTGTCCCAGCTTGTTTGAAGCTCCATATACTGAGGAACACGTTGCACATTGTTTCGTTCAGATTGCTTTGTCCTAGCAAGAGTTATTACAGAATATTTGGGGCCTCTTTTGAGTGAATCTCCCTGTATAAGCTGGCTTACTGTTCACATGCTTTAAACTAAAAGGTATGAAATGTCCTGTAGGAACATCAACTAAAGTGAAAACTTTACAGACTTCAGACTGGATGCCTTTCTCTGCGTAACTGTAAAGCAACATGTTGTCTACTATGGATTTGTGGTCACAGTCTGGGTTTAATATAGTACAGTAGTAGAGAGATGCAGAGTGAGTTTTGTCCACCTGATGAGGTAGCCTTATAGTACCTATATCGAAACTGACCAGAATGCCAGTAAGCTTCTGTTACTCATTAGCTACATTAACCTTCAGTGCAAAACTAACTTAAGACGACCAGCGTGTCTTGGCTGGTTGACTACATGTGGGGCAAGAAAAGTGGCCCATTGTTGGAGGCTAACACTCTTCCTCTTTGGCTTTGCTCCAGTGTTCCTGACGGGCAGTGATCGCATCCCCATCCACGGCATGGCCAGCCTGCGCATCGTCCTCCAGTCCACATCAGCAGCTGAGCACTACCTGCCCGTGGCCCACACCTGCTACAACCTCCTGGACATGCCCTGCTACAAGACCAAAGAGACGCTGCGCACACGGCTGACGCGCGCCATCGAGCAGTATGAGGGCTTCAGCCTGGTGTGAGCGACTCCGTCGGTCTGGGGAGGCCGGATGCACTGCACTTTTACCCCAAATACCCAGCGGGGCACAGGGGGGATAGAACGGAGGAGCCCGAGAGGTCAGGATGGCCTGTCTGGACCGGCCATTCCCGACCCAACACCACAGGGTTCTTCCAGCGGCCGAGTAAAGAAGGGGCCTGCACTGGACGGGCACCTTTGCTGAATTCTAATTGGGGTAAATGTTATTTTCCTATTGTTGGAGTGTGAGTCTAACGTGACTTTAATGACCGAGATATGCACATTGTTATTCAGAGTATATTTTCCTTTCCTTTTTTGAGTTAAACTTTTTTAATCCTTGGAATCCAATCCATGTGGCTTACTGTAGAGGAATTTAATGTTCTACACATTGACTGTACATATTTTCTGTTTGGAATTGAGCCTGAGCATTTGGTTTGCTGTGGTTTATAGGCGTTTTTTTGGCACTATGTTAAATTGTTTTCCCTCTGCTGTTGCCGGGGAACAAAAAACCTACTAAAACGTCCTCAATATCTGACTTCTGACCCTTTGCTTACTCACGTACTCAACAGATTATGCAGTACTGTGCATTCCTGAGTCCATATTTACAACATTGCCTTTAATATAGTGAGCCACTAGCGAGGTACGCCTCAAGCTTTTTACTCTTTTCTTTTGTTTTGTTTCCTTTTGCTCTTAATGGTAAGTGTGCATGCAAGTGTGGCATACGGAGTGGAAGCTGAGCCTGCTTATGACTGTTTAGTGTAACAATAAATATGTATATGGTAAACCCAAACATTTTATTTATGGTTTAAAAAGGAAAAAAAAAAAAAAAGCTGATTCCTAAAAATTTGAAAGCTGCAAATATCACTGTAACTTGTGTGATTGCATTGAGAATCACAAGGAAGCCTTTGGTTGATATTTTGTTGAAGGAAGAGATCCAGCAATAACTGGGCGATGCATCTGTGTTTGGTTGGTTTTCTTTTTCCATTTAAATGCTGGCCTATGCACTATGAATCTGTTAAACGTTCCTTTTTTAAAAAAGTCTTTCAAACGACATTGCATTTATATTTGAACGACTTCCTGACGTCTGCGCGTTGCAGGGCATGTTAAAGGGATTTTTTTTTTCTTTGCACAGCCGTGGGTGACATTGTAAAGTACTGGATCAGAATGACTTGCTGCGTAGCTAAAGGAGGATAACGTGAAGAAGAGAGTAGTTCATGCAGAAATCTCACGAGAGGAGCGCTGCACAGGCCCTGGAGACATGAGCTGTGTTCACTGCATCCTCTCATCTACATATTGCTGCAGGAGCTGGAGACGCGCGTTCATTCGTTCACAGTTCACCCGCGAGCATTCCTATCCAATACGTTATTATCAATGTAAGCAAACAAGGGCTTCTTAGTGGCTATTGATGCATTATTTTGGTAAAGCATATTTACTTTTATACCTCTCTCAAATGGAATATATTGTTTTATCTATTTTTTTTCCAGAACAAATAAAACTATAATTCCACCTCCAAGAATGTTGTACTTGTTAAAGATTTGCACTGTATTTCACATCACGTTGTCAAGTGAACATCCACACAGAAAGGTAAACCACACCAGCCGGTTCAGTAAAAATAGGTTCCACTTTATGTCATATATACAAAATACAAATAAAATCATGTACTAAAATGTACACACCCATATTCATTATAAACCATCAGTGTTCACGTTCAATAAAGCGAAGGTCACACTGCAAGTATCCATTTTGGAGAAAAATAGGAGAGGCTAATGTGCTCACTCAGTGTGAATATAGACCTGAATCTATATTAACCACGAACAAAACAGGGAATAGGCCCCACTCTCTTCATAAAACTATCGCTCTGCAATAAGAAATGGCAGCCGTTTTGCTAGGATACTATTGGCCCACGTCACTGTCACACAGTGACTTTACAATTACAACCAGTTAGAGACTGTGGAGCTTATTTTGCATAACAAAAATGAAATGCGAAAAAAATCGATACACATGCAAATGCAAATGCGAGCTTTAGCTGGTATCTTGGATTAAAATATTCTGTCTCTTTTGCCACCTATGGAAAAAAAAAAATCACCTGCTCTCAGTACACTCTGATTCTAGCTAAACAAAAAAACAACCTGCTTTGGCTACTGTTTACAATCAGTTTAGCAAATTAGTCATTAGAGAAAAGCATCAACTAGAACATGAAAATACAAAAATTATCTACAGCAAACATTGTCTCTACGCCTGTGACGCCATTAGTATTTCAAACAGAGCTGTGCGTGAAATATGGCACCAGTCATAAAGAAATGAAAAAGATACATATTTTTTTCCTGATGTTTTGCATGCAGCTTGCATGTAGGTACAGAGCCTTTTCCTTCCACGATTTGCTAAAATTCTCTCTCCTGATTTAAGATACAAAGTCATTACAATGATAAATAGCAGTTAATCATCATATAAAAAATTAAGACTTGAATTCAAATTCCCAATTCTGTTACTAAACCCTCTCTGATTAAGCGAAACCTTCTCTGTGAATGCCGTGTATCTCACACCAACCAGAAAAACGATCTACAAAATAAATACAAATCATATAATACATCATAAAAGTGTGTCAAATATAAATGTACTCTGCTGTAGGGGTGACTAGTATTCAGTGGGTGCTGCTGAACAGTTCGTTGTCTTGATTAGAAGTTCCCTAACTTGAGCAGTCAGGTCTGCGGCAGTAGAGTTTAGGTCAGTTTGAGCACTGAGCACTAAATGACATGGCATGGCGTGTGTCTGGGATGGAAGAGGATGGAGCTTGTATCATCTTCAGAGGGAAGGTGAGTGTGAAGAGTGTTACACAGATCCAGCAGGGGGTGAAGCAGCCATGTCTTGGCATCTTCTTCAGCCAAATGTGCCTGTAAGCCACAGATGGCCTGAGAGGAAAAAAACCCAACACCTAAATCTGTGATTTTTCCAATCTGACAGGCGGGTTTTTGTACAAGCTCATTTGCTTTTGTTAACACTGTCTGGTTGTCCTTGTGCGACTTGTGTGGAAGCATGCTCCCAGCTATAGTCCAGCAAATCTTCCCTGCAGGCTGTCCATTAGATGAATTTAGAAGAGTCTCTTTTGCTGATGAGCACTTCCAGCAGTCTGAGCTTGGCTTTGACGTGCTTGTACTCATTGTATTCCACTGCCAAGGGCGAGCGGTCTTCCTTCTGCACGTTTCTACAGGAGGAGCAGAAGCGCAAAGTATGACGTTAACCTTCTACAAAACGCGAGCCATCGCTGAGAGGAAACTTTTTTTTTAATGAATATAATTTCTCAGATATCCAAAACTGATGAGGTTCTTACCTGCCATTTTGCCTGAAAAACTGGTCCTCGAATTCACGCAGGTTCTTGCGGATTCTTTTCTTCTCTTCACGAGCTTCCTGGAGCTGTTCCACCAGTTCCTGTCTGTGTGTGGAAAAGGAGGGTGTTGTTAAGCAAGTACTGCCACTACAAAATGTGTAAAGATTTTCTGACCAATATTGTGACTTGATTAATTTGCCATTATTTTCTATAAAGTGAAATTCAGGCCTTTTTTTTTCTTTTTCTCGCTTGAGGCTCTGAACGCAATATGCCAGACTGCCACTTAGATGTGGTTGTGTTGTTGTACACAGCATATGGGTGTTTAGTACTTTCTGTTTAGTGTAATTCATCTACAGGCTCCATGTTTTAGGTCAAATTTCCTCCCTTAATAATGTCATGGCTAAAATTAAAATTTGAAAAATTGCAGTTCATTCAAAATACAAATTTGATCTATTTGTTCTATTTTGCATATAAATAATAAAAAAATCATCATTTTATTAAATACAAAAGAACAGACCCCAAAATTAAATTAAAATTACTCAGATGCATTAAAAAACTGTTAAAGTTGAAGTTAAGTAGACTTTTATTTCAGCACCACACATCAAGTTAACACTAACACTAGACAGCAGTGGGTGTAAGTCTAAAGCTATGTTATGTCCTGAATCTGCAGGTCTAGACTTCCTGCTGCTCTCATGGTCTGATGGATTCCCATTCGATGTGTTTTGCAGAGCTGCAGTGGAAACCTCTTTCTAAAGTAGCACACCTCTTTCTAAAAACACTTACATGGTGGCTGCATGCAAGTTGGACAGCCTCATGTCTGTGCTGTTCTTCGAGGGTGACAGCTCATCTACGGGTGAGATAAAACCATCCACTTCATCATCCAAGTGGTCCAGGAAGCTTAGCGTGCTCAGCTCCGGACGGACTGTCAACTGTGTCTTGTTGTCATCTTCATCTGAGCCATCCTCTTCCTCCTGTACACACACAAAAGATACGCCTGCTTAGTTATGTGAATGTAAAAGCTAGTTAAGTTCAGGATCTTCAGGCAGACTCCACCTCCATGCAGGATTCAGAGGATCAAGGCTTTATTGATTTCATCAGAGCTTTTGTTAGAGGGGGCAAAGACTGTTCACCCCACTATCTCTAGTGATTCTCTGGCAGGATCAAGTGAGATCTAGCTACACTCTCATTTGCACATGCTCAGAACATCACAGCAATGTTAAAGCATTGAGAATATTATTGAGCTCAAAGTCGATATCATTGATTTTTTTTTTACTTAAAAGAAAAAACATGCACCAAAAAAAACAAGCGTCTGCATCAGTTTGATCAGAGCTTCAACCAGTGAAATCACACATCACTCCCAAATTCAGCTACTGATTTGGAATAGTCATCTGACAGGTCACACCCAAAATCAACAGGCTGTGACTGGGACTGGTTAATTGGGGGGGTGGGCGGGGATAGGCAGGGCAGTCAGGTTTCTGATTGGTTGAGTAGCAGCTCTTCACCTGGTTGTGGTCGAAGAAGAGAGCAGGAACCCCCTCGATAATGGGCTGCAGCTGAGGGCCTCTGCGCTTGCTGGAGGGAGAGCCCTGCTGGGGGTTCATATGGAAATTACTGCTTACAATACTGACCTCAGGACAGCTACACACGGCTCAATCTAGCTTCAGTACCACTAAACTGATGCTGAATCAGGGAGGAAAGTACGGTTTCCCATGTCAACGTGTGTCTTTATCACTCAGCTGAACTTCAAAGTCTTCAGTAAAGCCTTTCTAAAGCATGTTTCTCTGCTGCTGCATTGCTCTGGTTTATATAATCAGTATTCAGAGTATTATATAATGAACATGTATCTATAAGACAGATTACGTGTTATATAATCAAAAAGTTTTTAAATATAAATTCACAAATCTACATACTGTAATCAACCTAGTGTAACTGAAAAGCCTGTTTTCAAGCTGTAATGAAATATTAATTTCTGTAGATATACAAGATATGCAAACTTAATCCTTAAGAGATGAGATTCTGTACACTGGGCTTGCTAAAAGATAAGCAATGTGTATGAGTGATCGTGTGCATGTACGCATGTTGTTGATGTTGCTGTAAAAGTCCAGATAAGGTCCTTTGCCTGTCACCCCTGAGCTCTTTAAGAGCAGAAGATCTACTGAGCTGCTAAAGCTGGGCTTAGCGCTGCTAACACTACCATCACACCAACACCGCTGTGAGAGCAAACACTTACTTATGCTAACCGTACTACTACTATTTCCCATCGTCGGTCCAACACAGCCGCTGATGTTGCACTGCTAATTCTTAGTCACACTAGATGACAGTGATGCTGCTAGTTTTGCTGCCAAGCGTGTCATGACAGGTGTTTTTGTGAACACTGAAGCCACACTGTGGCTAGTTTGCTATCTCTGCCAATGCTAACTCACAAAGGTTAGCTAATGTGGCACAGCAGCTAGATACGACCTCCCTGCACTGAGGCCCTGGAGTAAAAACCCAGCACATGGATGAATGGAGCGCTCAGGGGAAAAAAGGAGAAGGAATGTGTACTTACAATGACTGGGATGGTGGACGCTCTGCACAGGATTTGTTTGACAAGGCGGTATCTGTCATAGAGCGGCTTCATGATTTGTCTCTCAGTCTTGGTAATCTTGAAGAAGGAAAAAGATAGCGAAAGAGATAGAGAGAAGAAAGAAGAGAGGGAGAAAAACCTTGTTAAAACACTGCTGGACAGAGCTCCTCTCAGGCTGACAGATGGACACTGCAGTGTCGTTTGCAGGTGACCTACATTTTCTCCCATCAAATCCAGTGAGTGTTTTTTTTTCTGGATGTGACTCAGTGGCTGTAAAAACGTGGCCATTTCATAAACAGAGATGAATGATGGAGGTTTAAAGTGAGACCAGCTGTATTCCACTCTGATAATACATTGCAGGGCTGATGCAGAAGATATTACAGAGGACCAATTAAGCTGAGTTCAGTGAGAAATAGCACTCACATGAGCCAAATGCCTTAAGCTTTCTGGCATCCTGAATGGCCTTGAGCACAAAATAGCACTGGAAGATCTTCTGTAGAGCTTCTAAAGATCAGCCTTGGCAGTGTATTGAGGGCATACAGTCAAACAGACTGCGCACATCTGTGCATTCTGTGAGCTACTCCTACACACAGCCTGCTTTCAAGCATTACTCACTCTCCACTGGCAATCTGGGGCATGCTGAAGAGACTTTAGTGCACTTGTTGGGAAATTTGGGGCAAAGACAGGTTTGGGAAGAGGTATTGGCAATACTGCCACACCTGCAGTCATGTAGCCACACTCACCGGTCTCCCATGGATGCTCTCGTAATACAGCAGAGCTTTCTGGAGAGCTACTTTCTCTGCAGCAATTTGTTCTCGGGTCATATCCTGAAAAACAGAGGTATTTCGGTTACCAAACGGAATTATTTATCATAATCTGAAACACACCACTAAGCTTATTGGTTTTTTTGTGAAAGGTCGTAATAATTAAAACAAGAGCTTGGTCAGTTTCAGAGCAGGAAGCTGGAGACAGTAAATTCATTTAATATGAATATGCATTGGGGTTCTTTCTTTATACTGAATCTTAATGATCTTTTTGGGTGTGTAGTGTCTTGAGAGAACACGGAACGCTGCTAGAACAGTAAGCTTAATTCTGAACTTGAGAAAGCAGCACACAGCTTCATCTGTGACTTGGTAAATCTGAAAAGGCTGTATTATTTGTAGCTCATTAGCAGCCTTATTCTCTTTTTATGCACTGCATTTCTGTTACTTTGTAATGCCGTCCATTTTCTCTTCTTACATTTAAAAAGTTTTTTTATTGTTACAGAATTGTCTTAATTTTGTAACAACAAGAAATAATGTTAACTAAACCTGCAGCTGTGAAACATCCTCATGCTTTGCAACTTGCCTTGATGTCCTCGGGCCGTCCAACCTCGACTCGTTTCTCTTGCAGTTTGCTCATCACCGACTCCAGTGTGCTCTCCACCGGGGGCTTTGGTGTCTTGGCCTCGGGGGTTTTCTTCTCCAGTTGCGAACCAAAGCTCTTGGGCAGTGTGTTGCTGCGTTGTCGGGGCAAAGGACTCAGGTCCTCCTCTGACTTCAGCAATTTGTGCTCTGTGAGAGAAGTAGACAGGAGATAACGGGTTGACTGGCTTCCAATCTAGGTTCTTGACAGCTATGATCACTGTTAACAGCTTAAACTCCAAGCTTTTATTCAGTCTTCATTAAGACTAATTATCCAGTAATGAATTACTCAGTAACTTTTATGAAACTACTATGAAAGGTATGTAGTTATGAGAGGGAGGAATTAAAGTCTGGATCCTCCATGGGTCCTTCAAGTGTGAGGATTTATCATGGTTTTCTTTCTTTTTTTTAACAAGAGTTGTTTTTTCTGGAAAAAAACACCCTGATAGAGGATTTTTTGAGTTTATGGCTGTGAAGAATCTGTAATGTAGCTAATGATGTCTGAGACTCTGAAAGGCGTTTGTGTTTGCGTGCGTATTTCTTTCTTCCTCGTTTGTTCAACAAAAACGTCATGAGTGTTGGATTAGCATGACTTACAAGACGCTAATCATGCTAATCACTTTTTCCTTCCTTCTTGGTGCTTTAGACGTTTCAGGCATACCTTTGAGGTCTTTGCGAAGTTTGGCCAGTTCATTCATCCACCTCAGGACCTCGGGGTTGGCAGCTTTGTCACTGTGTGAGGGCTGGAGAGGGTAAACACAGCACTCATTATTGTTGTTGCAGAGAGCAGGAAATAAACTCACCAGGGGCCATTTTGAAAGGCCAGTTATGGCATCCATTTTGATTTTCCCTCAAGCTTATCACATTATTATATCTTTCTAAAAATCTTTTGACAGTTATTTCATACTGTCTTAAGGAACTGTTTTATTCCTGTTTCATCTTATGTATTTGTAATATGTTCTACTGTCTCCCACTGACCCTGTATTTGCGATCATCCTCAAACTTCTCCTCAAACTTGCGGATCTTCTTCTTGAGGTTGTGGATCTTTTTCGAGAGCTGTGCTGAGGTGAGCTCCTCACGTTCATCGTCGCACGAGCCCAGTGAAGAACTCCGTCGCCGGCTGAGCAAAACAGACAATAATTAAACCATTGCACTTGAATCCTCACAGCCACTCAACCTCAACAGCATCAACACATTGAGCATCGGATTATTGTGTGTTTGAGAGACCTATTCTAAAAACCTTTCAACAAAATGCCATGAAATAAAATATGCCAGAATGACTGCTGTTGCTGGACACAGTTTTACCTCACAATGATAGATAGGAATAATCTTTTTCTAGCGCTCCTACTACAAGACTGTTAGCATTTCAATCAAGAAACTATTTACTAATTTAACAAATTTATCTAATTTAATAATTAACAAAACAATGTATGTACAGTGAAACTCTTGTAACTGCATAACTTGAGTATTTGTTTCATAGTAGTCAGTGAACAGTAAACCTTAAGATTAATAATTGATTAATAAGGCTGCAGTTTAAAAGTTACTTCATCAAGACAGTTTTGGGGCCTCTGTAGTTTTCTGACGTAATGAGATCAGAGCCTTTTTCTCGTTGTCTCACCTGATGAAAGAGTGTGCGTTGGGTGGTGAGGGGGGCACCTCGGTGTCCTCCAGGTACTGCTGGGAGTTGCCGTAGGCATAGAAGCGTGGGGACAGCATGGGATCTGAATCTGCCTCTAGCAGCTGCCGGATCAGTCTACCCCCGGCGTGTGGCGAGAGACGGGCCTCCTCACGGTCCATGCTCTCCCTCTGCCATGACGAGTAGGCAGGCACTGGTTCTGTTAACAGCAACAAAAACAAAACACATACACATATTGAAACACTGGTATCTCTCAGATGTATACGGGTGGTCAAAGAGAGGACTGAGCAAAAAACGGTTTTTGTTTTTAATTGTTTGATATGAAGTTGCAATTACTGCATCTCAGAAAATGGCCAGCAACAGAAGAATAAGAGAAAGAGGGTCTGAGCAGCTCATGGGCTCAAAAGGTTGAGCATTGACTGACATCCAGTAATTGACATAGCAGACACAAAACACACATGGACTCATGCTGAGATATATGACCTTTGGAACCTGGCACACATTCATGGTTAAACAGGTAGCTAAGGCTTTTTGTGCCTGCAAATGTCTGGACAGCCACACAGCCACCAAACAAAAATATGTGGTTTAATATTTGATGTATTTACTAACAATTTAATTATTAGCTTTCAACCTAGTTGCAGTGCTTCTCTTTTCCATGGTGAAGACTTCTAATTTTAGGCTCAGGGTTAATAATGACTGAATAATATCAGTTAACTCAAACATGCGATTCCTGAAAGAAAATAAAAGCAAAATGTGTGAGAACAAAATACTCCAAGTTGTTTTTTTATACACTGTAGAGCAGTTGCCAAGAAACAACTTGCTGCATTGCCAAGACTGCAGCAAGGATGCAAGGTCATTTTAAAGCATGCACAAATAAACAAACACCCACATGTGTCAGGCTTAGCATCAAAGTAAAAGGGAGCGGAGGGAGACAGGGGGTGTGAGATTAAGTGAGATTTTGAAATATCCTACAGGTTTTTAGGCCATTTTTTCTATGCATGTCCTGTCACTGCTAACTGTTTTGCACTGAGCACTAACATTTAAGATGAAGCACTGCTCTTTGTTTGGGACCCACTGTTTCGTTACAGATTAATACACCCCAACATGTGTTATAAGATGGCCTTTACTCAAGAAACCCATAAAGTTAACTAACAGCTCTGCCATTGTTAACTTAAATTAAGTATACATCATTCTGTCTGGGCTTTGAGCGCTGCCTTGTTAGATGCTGGAAGTTTGTGGGGTTGCCATGCAGCATGGAAAGGCCACTGCAGAGGGATGGGGTTGGCTCGGGCAGGTTTATCTCTAAAGCAGGCCTCGAATACACTTACCCTCATAATAACTCTGCTGGAAAACACTTTTGAAATCAAGGAAAGGGGTGCTAAAGAAGGGTGAATCTAATAGAAACAAGACAGAGGACAAACAAAAGAAAAGAAGAAAATCAGTGAGAAAATAGCAAAGCAAATGAAGAGAAAGGAAAAGATGACGAGGCAAATAAGTACTGACTTTTCACCTTCCCTCTAGAAGGAAATGGGCAGTGTGAGGTGAGAATATCGAAAATGAGAACACTATACTGAATCAGCATGGAAGAGATGGAAAGGATGACTGATAGAATTGTGATGTGATTGTTTATCCCCTTGAGTGTAGAGTGGGTCACTGCAAACAGCTTTGGCACTGGCCACACTGGGACAAAGGTTTCCACCCCCTTCCCACTCCACACGTTCACTTTAGAAAGCTCATGTCTCATCTGCTGTCTGCACAGCCTCTCTCCAGGGGTCCCTTGCCTTCAGAGTGAAAGAAAAGCTTCTGTTGTTCCCATTTTCCCCCTAATGCTGGACTTCAAAGCTAATGAGTGAGAATCAGGCCCATGGTATATACTCTATCCCTGCTCTTTTGATCATGGACCTATTGTTCTACTTTTAAACAGAGCAAACTCTGCTAGAGTTTCACAGTTCAGAAACTGTTGTTGATGAAGCCTCAGAAGTCTATAGTTATCACTGTTTGGTATTAAATGTAATTACACAATTATATGATTGATGACACAGTTACATGATGAAAGACATTTACATTCATTTACATTTGGTTTACATTCTGTATCAACAGGTTTGGTGGCACCTCTGACCTGTTTCTACTTGTCTCGATGTCAACACATGAGGAAAAAAATGGAAAGGATGTTTTTTTTTCTGCAAAACTTTATGCATTTAATCAAATTCAAATCATAATAATATATATTCTCTTCCATTTACAAACACAAAGGTAGTACAAATGGAAAGTTTAGAATCTTCATGTTTAACAGATTTTCTCTACTTCTCTGAGCTATGAGTGAAAAAAAATTAATAAGAAAAAATAGCCGTGACTACTGAGGGTACTGAGGGGGAAAAAGCATGCAATTCAGTGCACAGACATTCAGCCTGAATCACTTTCACAAGCACATCTCAATCTGGACACACAAACATACATCACCTCCAACCATTGCAGGGTAGAAATACGTCACACCAAACATTCAAGCAAGTCTCTGCACACCCCTGGCAATGGAGCACTGCAGTTTTTCATCATAATTTCTCAGTGTGCCATGTCTCTCTGTAAAAGCTCATAAAACAGATATAGTAAGTAGCTAAGGCTGCCAGCCCTTGAGCCAGGCATTAGCAGCTCCATTAAGTTAAAGGGTAAATGTGACTCAACCTGGCAACCCTCCCAGTCGGGTCATCGGGTGGGGAGGAGAGAGACGGTTGAACGTTCACATTATTTCGACCAGACTCGAGTATTACCAATGTTACGGTGGAGAAGGTGTTTTTGTGTGTGTGTGTGTGTGTGTATGTGTGTGTGTGTGTGTGTGTGTGTGTGTGTGTGTGTGTGTGTTCGCATGTTTCTGCACGTCTGTAACTGGCAGTCTTGTAGGAAAGCAGCAAGAATCGAGGAAGGAAGCCGACTGCTTTTTCACGTACACATATTCAGACGGTATTGTAGTCCCATAGCAACAGCCTGCCTTACTGAGATTGATCTGCACACATTTCGGCTCTGGGTTTGTCTGTTTCCACGGTGATAATAAAACCAGGAAGCCGCTGCTTGCTCACTGTTGCTGCCCACCTCTAAACAAACTTCAGGCCTAATGAAAACAGAAGCAGTTTAAGGATTTACGATACAGTCGTAGGGAGGGATTGTTGGAGGAAAATAATGCATATTGTCCTATGTATTGACCCTGAATCTGCAACAGATACTTCTGGAGATGCCATGATACCACTTGTTCTTCTCCTGTACCAACACTGATATTGAAAACTTGAGCTTTCTGATACTTCTGATAGTGATCTGATATTTTTCCTTTTAAAATTACTAAGCTTTAAAACAAGCTACGTTCAAGCACTTGAATCAAGAAGAGCATCTGACAGCACTGGGAAACATGTTGGTATCAGCAGATTGTGGTCTGAAAGTATTTAATAATATCTGCTGATGTATTTACTAAACTTTCAGGCAACACTGTGGGAGGTACTGTGTTAAAATGGCTGCATTTAATCCCAATTTCTATATTTGATGAATGTTAATGTAGTGGCATCAGCAGATATGTACACAGAAAATATTGGTTATCCCAAAATTCCCATATCAGTGGAAATTCCCCATCTAAAAGTAGAATACTGTGCTCAAACTACTCAAAAATAACATCATGCAGTGTGAGTGTGAGGTATTTGAGGTTTTATTTGTTACAGTATTGGACTGGCCCATACCCATCAACACCAATATGCCATCTTTAGATGCTTCTGATCTGCATACATCATTTAGACCATTGGGAAAAATCTAACCATCTTTAATATCCTGCTATATGTATTAACTGAAATATTCCTTGTAGAAAATAAAACAAATGCCTTCTTCCTATGAAATAATGCCACAAATGCCATAAACAAAATGAGTGAAATACAACGTCTATGAAACAAAATGAATGACAATAAAATCAAGAAACAAAACAGAGAACATAATGATGGCTTATGGATACACAGTATATGCAGTCACAAGCAATAACTGCCCTTAGAAGGAGGAAAAACAAGCAGGCAACTGGAACGACCTCACATGATACTACAGCAATCTCATTAAAATGCCCACAGGGTCTCTAATGCAGGCTCCTTCCCCCAGATCAGAAGCAAGTTCACCATCAAACACAGCCTTCAGCGCTGCAACCAGTGGGTCCTCACTTTCCCACCCAGAATGCAACAAGCTTTCACCAGTTACCATATAACAGCAAACTGCTGCAGCTACAATTTAAGCACAAGCATTCAACGCAGAGAAAATAATCTTAAGACAAAACAGTTTCATATGACACAAATAAAATCCTCCAAAGCAACTTAGGCTCTCGTTCTGTTTGTCACCAATGTGAGATAACAACAAAAGTGGGAGCAGCAGGCTTGCAGCTGCCACCCATGTGGTGAGGGAGGGAAAAGGAGAGAGGGAGGGAAGAGAAAAAGGGAAGGAGAAACAGTGGGGGAGAGAAAGAGGCTAAATTCTAAATGACTCCCTATTCGACATAGAGTGCAATGTTTGGGTACAGAAGGCATTATTTCATGACCTATAGGCCCCCTGTATAGGGAGGAGGGAGTCATCTGCGACAGAGCCAAGGAGAGAGAGACAGAGAGAGAGCTACAGAGAGAGAAGGAGTAGCCGCTAAATGGCTCCCTATGGTGTATATAGTGCGTTATTAGAAGGCATAGATATGATCTAAGTGTGCACTATATAGGGAGGAGGGAGTCAAATTGTGATTCAGCCAAAAAAGAAAAAGAGATAGGGAGTCACTCACCTCCCCAGTTGCTGTCCTCCGTTAGAGCGGACAGGTCCAGTCGTGGGACGTCCTCGCAGCCATCTGAATGCTCCGGGCTGCTGAGAGCCTCCTGGATCTTCATGGCGGACGCCTGAATGCGGGGAAAAGAGCGAGGGATGAGTGCTGAATAGAGCGCGGAATAAAGCGCAGCAGGAGCTGTGCACTCCTTAAGTTGAGTTGTGCTCTGCCTCCTCCTGCCCCAGCCTACCCCAGGGCAGTGTGGGAGGTGGGGTGGAGCCTAGAGCGCCAAACCCCTGCATTCTGATTGGCTCATATCTGTGCTGGGTAAAAGAAAAAATATCCTCCCATCTGCCTTTTGGAGTGAGGGTGTGCATCACCCCCCCACCACACACATGCGTGCACACACACACACACACACACGCACACAGTGAGTCGCTCCAGTGCTTCCCCATACTTGTTTGTCTCAGTAGCTGGGGAAGGAGGAAGGGAGGGAGAGGGGCGGAGAGAGAGAGAAGGGCGGAGGAAAAAAAGGCGGGGGAGGGGGGGTGTAAAGAAAGAACAGCCGGAGCACGCAGGGCACGCTGAGCACGCAGGCAGACTGACAGGAACTTCTGTTATTGCAGGCGAAACCGTGCAGCCGCAGCAGCCGATTTTATTCTGCTTTTCTTCTGGTTTTACCGCTTTGGACATTCTCTCTTACGTTCTACTCATCTACACACCTCCACCTCTCTCTGAACTCTCTCTTTTTGATGTTTCTTCCTCTGGCAGGCATGTAATCCCTTTAGTTGCTCACACGTAGACAGCGCATGCTGGACTTTCCTTCTTGCACACATTGCTGTTTACATGCACACTCACTCACGTGCATGTACACTGCTCATCACAAGTGTGGGGACGCTTAGCTTTTCAAAATGTTTCTAATACAAATAAGCATGTTTTCTTGCTCAGTTTGTAATAATTTCTACCAAAGACAAACCAGGATTATTATGTTTATTATGTCTTTGCAGAAGGAAAAAACTTCATTTAAGGAAAAAAGTTGTGACAGCATTTTTGTAGTGCTACCTTGCAAATAATACCAAAGCTTTCACATTGTATCCTCCTGCTGTGATGTCAGCACTCAAATGTTTCAAGTATTTAAACCACTTTGTGGAGCTCCAATATGTGCTTTTAACAATAGTTTGGAAAGGAAAAACCGTCAAATTATTATTTAGGCAAAACCTGCTCGTCATACCAAAGAAGGCACTTGGATGAACATCAAGCTACAAAAGTATTAGCACATAGCTTTACAGGTCTTTCTCTTACAATGATGAGAAAATTCATTTCTCAAAAGGAGGAGTCTCTACAAGGTGTCTTCAACACACACTCCCACACACACATGCACATGCATGAAAACACCCACACGCACACACTTCCGATGCTGGGCTGTGGGACTCAGGTTATTTTTGGAGCAGATCGGGGCTTTGCAGTTAAAGGGACGCCCCCTACAACTCCCCGCCCCCTCTGCATTGCTGAAAGGATGACAACAAGCTCCAGTAAGAGCTCCATTACCATCAGCACCAAGCAGCCCTCTGACTACAACTGCTATTACTGATACTACAGCACATAAAGTCCTCACGCTAATACTGAAGGATTTTTAAGAGCAGCTTAGATGCTCCAGTGTTATTACTAACAAACTATTTAAGGCAACACATGCTATTTGACAGATCTGTGTTGGAAGACCACAGCAGTTTTTAACAAACTTGCCCCATCGAGGGCTATAATTGCCACACTGCTGGAATCACAGCGATGTTTGTCATTTATTTTGCCAACCCAAACAAGAGAAGGGGGAGACTTTAAGACTTCCCAGCAATAAAAGTGCAAGAACTCATGACCACACAGGAACAGAGTAAGGCCAACACTCGCACAATGTACAGCCATAATAACATACTTCAGCTGTATATCGCTTACTCCAGATCTCGAAGCACTTTGGAATAAATATACAAAAACAAACAATGTACAAAAAGGCAAAATGAGCAAATCAATGTATTCAAAACAATGTCTAGGGTTGCTACTTTCATTTACTTTTAGGCCAAAACTTTATAACCAAACTGTAAAATAATGTGTCAGACATTATGCTAGGTATTCATAACCATTTCATGTAATAGCTTTTCATGTAACTGTTCTATTCAGATGTTTGTCTCCTATCATTACCACTGGGAACAACTCTGACTCACTAAGTTTCTCCAGAACAAAGCATTTTCCACCAAACAACTCCGAATGACTTTATTTTCATCTTAGCCTTTTAATTATATAGTTTTTTTAAAAACTGGTGGAGTTCCCCTTTAATAAAAAAAAATTAAAAGTTTTTAAGCTTTAAAAAAACTTAACTTTCTACTACCTACATTTTCTACCATCTAAATTTTTGAAACCTAAATGTTCTACTACTTAAATTTTCTACTGTCTGAATTTCTTAAACCTGAATTTTGTACTACTTTTTACTTTTCAAAATGGTGAATTCAGTGTGTTCACATATATAAAATTTAGACAAAAAAGTACAACAACAATTTGTGCAAGTTTTTCTTAAAGGTTTTTTCCAGGTTCAGGCTCTGGTGATTCTGATTTAACTGTATGTGCCATCAAACAATGTAGATACCACTGTCATACAAATACTACACAGTTTAAGCATTTCTGGCTGTCTTCCATCAACATCCCAAAAACAATCTAAAAGGTAATACAGCAAATGCATGTAACAGGTGTTAAGAGACAGCAGATGGATTTCTTAAATTCAATTTAAGAAATCTGTCATCATCATGCAAACTGGCAATGAATCACTAAAGAAGATAAAATTAAATCAATGGTTTTTTTATATAAATTGAGTACTCAAGGTTAATCAAATAACTGTGACAGCCCTACACAATATGGAAAATATGTTCACATGCATTTGTAAAAAAGATACTGCTTTAGGAGGTTTTAAAAAGTCCAGATATCTGCTACTGAGATGCTGAGATGGAGCTGGTTCCACAAATCTGGAACAGCAGAGGCAAAAGCTCTGTCTTGTTTTAGAAACAGCTAGCAACCCATAGCAAGATAAACGAGGTGGACAGAAAGGAGTTAATATTTTAGATAAATATAGAGGGGCAGCTGTGAATTAAATTAAATGTTAGAGGGGATTTACTGAAAATGGTCCAGTCTTTCATTATTTCTGCTCTAGGAGCAGATTTTCCTCCTCATGGCCCAGTGCTAAGAGACTGCAGCAGAGCCCCAGTGAATCATCCTTCATAGAGAGTGAGTAATGCCCAAAGGCCATCTGCTGCTGCCGCTGTGGACAGGAGACCCGACCCCAGCTTCAGCAACGGAAACCTCCCACTCACTTTACTCTCACTGTTTACTTCTACACACCATTTGGTTCTCATTAAGACTCACACACACACACACACACACCCTCGCAGGCTCACACACAAAAATCACATAAACGATCCAATAAACAAACAGCCATTTGTAAGCAGTAAAACCCCTCAATCAAGCAATTTCCATGTTTATTTTACATTTTATTTCCCATCAAAAACTCATACATGATCAGATTGTAATCTAAACATGATGAAGGAAGAGGACAGTCACATAAAAAACATATGCTCTAGTTCACAGTTCATAAAACAAAGACAGCTAGAACCAAACAAACTTAACACAACTCATCCCAAACTAATCATGCAAGCCAATCTCTTAATTCAGACATAGTTCTTGGCATACAGATTCGTTCTTGATCAGGCTGGATACAGGAGGATAGATGGTTCCTGCAGAGTCTGTTTCAACTGAATAAATGAAAAGGGTACATGGTGTTCTGTACAGGGAAAACCCCTCCCCCAGGTTTTATACATTTACCACAGAGTCCTAAAAGAGGACAAGTACCAGTCTTCTTGTGCTGAATTTTCTACTACCTGAAAGTTTTAAACATGCATTCCTTTTAACTGTAATGTTTTGACCTGATTTTTTTTTCCTAACTAAAATGTTAAACCGGAATTTTCAACTACTTGAATGTTTTAAACTTGAATTTTGTAATGCTGAATTTTTAAAACATTAATTTTCTTCTAACCGTATTTTTTAAAACTGAATTTTCTACTGTCTGCAGTTTTAAAACGGAATTTTCTATTACCTGCATATTTTAAACAAGAATTTGCAAATGAAGTAAATTCATTCCTAGTGTTTTTACATATCAGTAAATTTCAATAACTATTTTTTTTCTTCAAGCATCTTGAATTTAGGTTCGACTCCTGGTTAATCTGAATTAACTCTACATGCCAAGAAATGAATGCAAAAGGCATTTTCATGCAAGTATTTCAGAGCTCAAGCATTTCTGGCTAATTTCCATCAACCTTCAGTGCCTGTAGCTGCCAGTAATTGGAAACACTTGAGTTAGGCTAATCAAAAGGCCAATCTGCATCCCTCACATGATGCCTGTATGAGAAAACAACCACAAAGAGTAAAACATCAACCCAATTAAGGGCAATCAACAGTAAACAACTATTAATCACTTAATCCACTTACGATGACGCTGTTAATACCTTCAATAACAAGATGAGAACTCTTTTAAGCATGTTGACTTGTAAAGAGGAGGTTAAAGCTGAATGAATCAATGCTGAAGTGACGCTGTTTTAGCTGAGTGTTACAGCTTGCGGTTCTGCTGCAGTGCACTGGTGGCCATTGCAGTTACATAATCACCAGTAGCCCAGCTCAGTAGGTGGGCTGGTCTAATAACTGCTTACAGTCTCAAACTGCATGGTCTCAGATATGCACACACACACACATACACACTTACGAATACACACGTACATATACACAAACACAGGATTTATGAGGATAAGGATGGACAAATGCAGATACTACAATTGTGAACAAATGTGTCTATGTGTGTTCCCTTCCTATAAGACCATACTCAATATATTCTAATCTGGGATTTTCAGTTCATCCACAAAGGCCAAAATACGGTGGAGAGAAGATTTAGCACCAGTCTAATAAAAAACAACAATGGATTTAGTATTAATCCAAGAAAAACAAATAAGAAATGTCGACATATTTATACTTTCATAGGAGATTCTCAGTCAACTTCCTTACTTGTAGTTGTCTACGGTTTTACACTACTATAAGTTAAAACATCTTAAATCTGGTTGATATGTCTAAAAGTTCTCACAATGAGACTGTTGTAGGAATGTTAATGTGAGACATTTTTAGTTGTTTTAAGCAATTTTTCTAGAGAAATTGTCTTTTTCTATTGGCAGATAATTTTGTTTCAAGACACAACGCAGATAGTTTAGCTTGTTTCAGTAAATAATGCTTGAAAAAAGCAAAATGATCTGCCAATAGAGTAAGACAATTTCACTAGATAAAATAGCTTTAAACAAAGATAAGTATAATAAAAAAGTAAAATAAAACGTAAAATAGTCCTTATACTATCTTAAAACGAGACGCATTAGCTATATTGACTAGAGTAAAGACTTCCTTTGCCAAGATATCATTTTTTGCAGTGTAGGGCTTGTTAAGAATGAGACTCAGATAAGATTCTGCTATCAAGTGTTACCTTCCCTCTGTGGCAGCACAGCCTAACGGACTGCTGCACGCTAATGCACTGCGAACATATGCAAAGCCAGGACGGCGTGTTCTAGCCACTAGAGCATACAGTATGATCAGGTTACTACGTGTACCGTATGGCATGCAGCAACATGCTGATACGGTAAATATGCTGTTGGTATGTGTCTATGTGTGTATATACTGTGAAGTAGGGGTGAGGAGGTTCTAGCTCACTAGAAGGCATCAAATGAAATAACCTCTTGAACTATAAGGACCTATAGGTAGGTCTAGACTTTCAGTCCTTCACTCATAGCTACACTACTTACATAATAGTTTCACAGCAGTTGCCAGATAATAATAATTGAGACTAATACCTGACAACCAAGCCTCCTGTTTAAGGGGTTAAATCAACTTTGAGGAAGTTGCTAGTAAAAAAGAAGGTGCAACTGCCAAAATCTCTGCCTCACAAAAAAAGAGAAAAAAAGTCTGGAGGGAGAGAGCAGTTGCGAAACACATTCTTGCAAAATGCTTTCCAAATAGATTGTGAGATTAAGTCTTGAGCGAAAAACATTCAAGCAGTTTCTCATCCATTTCATAATGAAAGATTCCTTTATAAATTCAATCCTACAAATCAGCACCCTGATGGAGAACATTCCAATGCTAACCAGAAATAAGTGGCATGGTTTTTTAACCTACTTGGTTGCAGCCGTTGCGCCACAGTGCCACAGCAGAAGGGCTTTGGCATGATCAGAAGGCTGGTGTCAGAGCATGCCAGGTGGCAGGGCACTAAGGGTGAACCAAACGGGTGGTGGCAGAAACTAAGGGGCCGCAGCTACTTCAGCGATGACCATCTGCGTGTTTAGGCTCAGAGTATTTGCCCCTGAGGAGCAGCAGTGGACAGTGCATTTAGAAGCAGATGGGGCTGGATGGGACTGGCCAAACTCCACTGCGAGGGGTCAACAGCACCAGGCTGTTCCCACACTAACAACAATGGGACGCTTACATACATCTCAGATGGATCTTTTTCTAGCTCCAAAAGACAGTGTCAGAGCGCTACAGCTGGCCAAAGGGACACTTCAACTAAACAGTGTTAATGCAGCCCTAATGTATCTAACTATAAGTGAAAGCTAGTTAATAGTCAGCATTACAGTTTTACCCACTTCATCCATCTGTCCAAATGAATTAGCTTAATTAGCTGAATTATGTCTGTATGTTCATCCATTTAGTTAGACAAATGTACATCATGCAGCCTCAAAAATCACAACAGCAAGTCTATTTGAGATTATTGAAAGGGCCCATAGCACAGAAATTTCTCCATAGCAAAGACGTTTCTTCACTTTATTTAAAGGAGTTTGACATAGTATGCAGTTATTCTCACTACATTCAGTCTATATATGGAAACTAAACTGCAAGAACAGCTTTGAATTCATTTTAAATTCTTTTTTGTGATGTTGTGAAAACCAATGCATTTACATATGTTTGCCCATTTGGTCTACAACGGTTTAGCCGTGCCCGTTCTCACTGTATTTATAAGCAGTGCTTCAGTCTGGACTATTTCTTGATTGAGGCACAAAACAGGACAGCCAGTCAGAACAGAGGTCAATTACTTATAGTAGCTTTAAAGGTGCAGTAAAAAACAGCCTTTAAACAGCATTTAATTATAAGGGAAGAGAAGATGGAAAACGGCCATGTAAAAATGAATTATGACTGGTTTTGGTACGTAAACCCAAACAAACGTCATAAGTAGACCTAAATACAAGAGAAATGTAAAATATGGGCCCCTTATCAACAGAACATTGAGGCAAGTGTGTGATGATTTAGGCATGCAGTCTGCATAATGTGCATAAGCGTTCATTACTTTAGCCTTGCAGCTCCAGTGCAACACTAAAGAAGCAAAACTGTCTTGTCTGATCAACTACATTTGGGATCAGAATGAAAAGTGCAGAACTCAGATCTCCTGCCAAACTATCACTTTAAATTGCACTTACATGACTTAAACGGCAGTTGCACGCCTGACTGCCTCCTCGCCCGATTTAAGGTGTGATTCTGCGTCACTTAAATATGCAGCCTGTCCACATGTTTGCCTACAGTAACACAAACAAGCTTGGCTGCAGAAACTTACTCTCCTGTCTGAGCTTCACACACTGAGCCAGTGGAGGCTTATTGCGGAGGAACACCTCAAGTGGTGATTTCATCACAAACTCGCCTACGTGTGTAGAAGCCACAAACACATGGCAAGATAACAACAAGAGGGAGGAAGAAAAAGAGGGATGGGCAAAATAAGAGAGAGAGAGATAGAAAACAGAAAAGAAAGCAGATATAAGGGTATAGACTTGCCTGAAGATGAGGTGAGTCATTTGTCTTCTGATCCTCCCTGGAACAGATGAAAAACGGCATCATTTTATTGATAGGTTGGATTCTGATTTATGAGAGCAAACATTTAGAAAGCTAGAGGGGCAGGATGACAGAAGCCCTGGCGTGTTGTGTAGTAGGAGTCTGCAAGGGGGGTCTCAACACATTCCCAGACCACAAATAATCTACTCTCTAAACGTCCTTCAGGCTCAGCAGATTCACCGTTTATGTGATTAGTTACACTGAGCAAATGACATTCCCTTACATGTCACTGTGATGAACCGTCGAGGTGGTATACTGACAGCATTCTCTCCACACCAAAACTAGTTATACGTTATATGAAGCATAGTTTACCATCGATGCAAATTTAAAGAACATGATTAGTTGATGAAGTAACCACAAGTCTCAGTCAGCATTCACTCTTGCCAGTACCAGAAAGCGTATTTCAAAAAGTGGATGAAATGCAAGGCACAACTAAGAGGTCTTCAAAATGTCGCTCTCAAATTACATTCTACTGATAGACACTCCATTGCTTTAATACCTGTTATCTGTGGACTCCATGCTGTCTGACATGTTTCTGTCGTGTGGTCTTGATGATCTGTAAAGCTGAAATTGTGAAAAAAACAAACCAAAATAAATAGTCACAACAATGAAATGATGTCCAGTAAGTACTAACTTTCCTTTGATTCTGAGTTATAACAGGTCAGTTACATGAACAATGACATACATACAGTGAGTGACAGTAGCAGATCCTTTATATTTCTTCTTGTTTTAAGTCATTTTACTTTCAATTCACTTATTTAAGTGGCAGATAATTGTTTCAAGACAACGCAGAACATTTTGCTTGTATATAAATAATGCTTGAACATGCACAATTACTTACAGGATAAGACAACATCACTAGATAAAGTGACTTAAAACAAGTAGAAGTGCCCACAAATAAAATAATCATATAATATTCTTAGAAGAATCTCAGAATGAGAGATATTAGACATACCAACTAGATTTAAGATGATTCTTTTTTACTCTCTTTTCCTTATTTAATAATTTGCTGAACTATTATTATTTTTTTTACATCTTTTTTTTATTTATTTACTGCTGTGTTACCTGATGAACCCCAGGGAACAAACATTGGGCACAGCTAACAGAATTAAGCGAGAATTAATTTGACAAACAAGTTTAAAATAAATTGGAAACACATGAACATCATGTGCTGTCTGTCTGTACGTCACAGAAACAGAGCAGCTAAAGGTTTTCTTGCATTAATACATCAGGCAAAGGAAATCTGGTACTCTGTTGCATCAGCTAAAGGAGCACACTGCACTCTTTCACCTCATTGGTCATATTTCAGTCATGACTGGCATTACAGATCCATCAAGCACTATCATTAGTGTGTCAGCAGTGTCTTGTGGCATCTCCAGCATTACGTAACCTATGCAAAAACAGCAGCCTAACTTCATTACTGTGAAGCCATGGGATGTGTCTCCAAACCCCTGTCAGCAGGCTAAAGTGTGTCTGAGCTCTTATATAGTAGATCGGTGTATTTTATAGCAACACAAACATGATATAAACACAAGTGACAGAAGTTTTTTTGCTTACTAATAGAGATAAAAGTTTGAGATAGTCCTCACTACGCAATTCTCACTATATTTTGGTAAAGATTACGTAAAGGTGGTTGCTTCAGTTTCCATCCTGTTAAGGTAATAAAAGTAATTGTTTCAGTTTCCAGATTACACTTTGTACCACACACAAACATTTCAGCCATGAGATTAAAGGACAAAATAAAAAAGTCAAAATAATTACACAAATAATTGACAAAAAAAGCCTCTTTCACATAACTACACTGGCATGGAAAACACCAAAATTCATGCGCCAAGCCTTTTCTGGCAGTTTTAGGTTCAGACAAGATGTGCTGTGTATGAAGTATACAAGCCTAAATGCATAGTTTATTCGCCATGTGAATGGAAAAGTGCATATGTACATCTGCATTTGACGGAGAATTGTGTAAAAAGATGGATGGAGATTTTGGAAGCTGTTTACTAGATATTCACAGATATAGGAATTGTGGGCTGATTCTAATATGTGATATTTTTCATGCTGAAGCCAAAACATAAAAAATTATAAAACAAAGAAACTGGGACTCCATGAAGGAAAAAGTGTATCTGTAGAGGGTTACAAATGCAGTTAAATTAATAAAATGCAGACAATTTAGCATAATAGCCAAAGACAGCACATTTTCTGTTTGATTGAGCTGATCAGCTACAGCATTTAAAAACTGAACGTCACGTATTGTCGCAACAACAAGGCACATCTTATGCTGCCACTTCTTGCTTGCATGTATGTGTCCTGTGGTCTTTCGCCTCAGAAAATTTGCCCTTTGGGACCTTTCTGACGCCGTTTGATACGTGTCTGACTGAGGCTCTGAACACGGTGGTCTCATCTGTTCATCCATTAAAGTTACATCCATCAACACACACATACACACACACAAACACATGCTGCACCAGCTCATAAACATAGGTAAACAAGACCTCTTCGCTTCAGTGGCTGCTTGCCTCAGATAAAAGATCATACTAATTGAGCCCTTATTAGCTTGCATGCAATTTAGCCAGAATGTTCTGCAGGCAAGCGTGACACACTGTTACCCTTGTGCCCAAGACAGGGATTGCGGGATTGCTGGTATAATTAAGGCAGTTTACCCTGGGTCTGTTTTTTCCTCAGCATTCTCTGCCTCACATCACATCTCTACTCGCAACCTCTCTCTTACTATGCTGTTACAATTACCAGGACTGACTCACTGCTCTTAAGAACAGTACTAGGGGGTAGATGTAGAAGAACTAGCTGAAGAAATTCATCAGATTGACTGTGTGTGTTGTTCTGGAGCAGAAAGTGTATTTTTTGAGAAAAACACAACTGTACTTGTTTAATGAGTTGGTCTCAGTTTTTTTTAAACAACTGAAGTGTGCTCCCACTTGGTTGGAATGAAAACTGTCACATTTACTTTTAAAATTAACAAATAATTTTTACCTTCTCAATGAAACAGTAATGAATAGTTGGCCATTTGCAGGATTATAATTAAAAGTTAGGAAGGTTTTTCCTTTTACTGTAAAGTCACTATTTTGGATTATATAATCTTTATATAAACGATACATAGACATGATGCAGCAAAAAATGTGTATAAACAAAAGTGTCCATCAGGTTCTCTTTCACAATGTAAGAGAGCCCACCAGAAGAATTTAAATATTAATATAATTCTAATTCAAATACTTAATTCCAAATAATTTTAGACCATTTCTGTCCATCATGCAAGTCTTTGCACAATATAAAGGGAAGCTAGTGTTTTCAATGATGTTAAAATATAAATGACAACAAAAATGGAGATCCAACAGCAAAAATATATTTTTAATCTTTTTTCCAATAAAGTATTTTAAAAGCTTACATAAATGGTTTGTTATTGTTCAGTTATGACCATTCTCATTTTTAGCCTCTGGTTGCTCAATTAATAATGAGTAAAACTGTTATAATTGTAAAAGACTTCTCAATTGCTAATATAATCGTGACAGCCCTAGAACTGAGAATAAGACAGAGTAAGAAGACCAAAAGAGAGAAAGCTAGAGAGAGCCTGGTGGACACACAGAGCAGTACTCACAGTAGGTGAGTCTTGGATATGAGACAGCTCGGTGAGGGTAGGGCTGTGTTTGGGCTTCCTGGGCCTTGTACCCTCCTGAGCACTGTCCAGTCTCCTTTCGTCCTCCTCGCTGGCGCTGATGCTAACACTGCCACTCAGGCCACGGGAAGGGATGTTCTCCTTATCGATGTCATCCCTAAGGAAAAGACAGATCTGCTTTCAGAAAAAAGCACAACACGAGCCAAGTTTAGCAGAGCCTTTTCTTTTCCATGTGAAGAAGGATCAAACAGGGCATGAGCGAGGGAGACAGGCTAATGTCCCAGCTACTTATAGCAGACAGCAATGTTTATCTAAACTCTCATCCCACCCAGATGAGCCGGTGTCACTGAGCACAACTGCTTTAATTCTAATCTCATGTTTTTGGTCTCTTTTGCCGTTGTCCTCTTGTCAGCAGGATCAGTGAGGCTCTGAGATGACCCCATACAGAGACAGGAGTGATAAGTCACCAGGAGTCACCAACCCAGGCTAGGTGCTAACACATGCTACAAACCTACCTCTGCAAAGTAAGACTTAGAGTATATTCAGTCTAAGTCCTAGTCAAAATTGTCACATCACCACACTGTAACTATAAGTTGTTTACCTTCAAGGGAACCAGTGACACATAAGGAATACAAAAATCTGCTGAGACTGACCAAAGTTAGCTTTATGCAAGAATTGGCTGGTAATTATGACTCAGGCAACACGGAACTTGCCCAATTTTACCACAGCTTTGCTGGCCCTACAAAAGCAACTTCCTTTTAATAAACTCAGAAATGTATAAGTTTATGGTATGATAAAGACAGCAAAACTGTAGATTAGACCATTATATACAGGTTTATACTCCAAATTCTAGCATATGGTAAGCTCAGGGAAACTGAAGGGAGGTTGTCATGCTCAGCTGTGGGGATGGTCTTAATCTTTCATAAAGGAGAGCTCTTACCTGAATTTTTCACGATTCTCCTCTAGCTCTCGCTGCTGTCGCCTCCTCTGCCGAGCCGTCGTCACGGGAGACGCAGAATGGCCAGCTGACTCAGAGCCCTGTGGTGAACTTTGACCTGCCTGCATGTGAACATCAAAGAGATGCTGCTCCACCGCAGAGCGGATTGTCCTCTCCAGATAACTACAGAAAGAGAGTGCGGGAACGAGAGAGAGACAAAGACGTCAAAATCACATCCTTCCATTCTCAAAGCAGAAAAAAAGATTATAGCTACAGTTATGCCAACACTGAAGCTCATTTGTCTGTTCAGGTTATTACAGTGAATCATCTGTAACAATGATTTAATTAGGGTGAATACATTATCAGGACATGGTGCTATCATGTTGAGTCACTGTATGATCACTTACTGTGCTAAGTCGGGCCTACAATGACCAGGAGAGAGCTGAGAGCTGGAAGAGAGAGAACACAGCATATTTTACACATTGTACTATGAAGTGAAACAGTCATATTGAAACATTACCCACCATTAACTGAGCTTCTGCAAATACACCAAAAAATGCATGTGCCGCATTTAATTTTAGTGATAAGTGTATATAGAATCCAACCAAAGTATGTCCATATGTGATTCAGGCATGAAACACAATGTGCAAGGTGTAAACAAGCTCTTACTCAACCACATGCTCTGACGTCTAAACAGGATAAAGAGGTGCACGATATATGGAAGTCAATATATTATTCAATTATTATTTTTATTTTTATTACATTTTATTAAATATATCATATTAAAAATGGATTACTGGACAGGATTATTTTAATCAGTTGGCACTCCAATTGTGCAAAAACAACAAAAAAAATCAAACACAAATTGTTTATGGATGCTAGTACTGGAATCAGTTTTCAGCCACAACAAGGTCAGTCATATCCACAAATGGTCAGTGTTGGCTGTAGGTTTTCATTTGAGCAAAGCAGAAGCATGCAAGATCCACTGTTTGAAGACTGAGACCTACTGATTAAAGAAGTGGAAGGAGTTCTCCTGCTTGACTGGAATGAAAATCTGCAGCCACATCAATTCTTTAGAGATGAAACTGGACAACACTGACAACAAGATGTCAATTATCAGCCTAGAAATTCCATATCAGTGCATGTATAAGAACAATTATACAACGACTTGTTTGTCTAAGCCAAAGAGGCAATATGATATGAACCGGAAATTGAGCATAGAAGGACAAGTGTCAAGCTCTTGAACATTCTGTCTTTTTTCCTGCTCTCCCTACCCTGTCCCAGGCGTGCGTACCCATCATGGTGCACAACGCAAGGTTTGACAGCACAAGTAAACAAGCCGGTTGGCTTTGTTTTCTTGCACTGTCATGCACTCCTGAGGAGTGGCTTTAGTCTTCCACAAACAAAACCCATCACTGTACATATTAGTATCACTGTACTGGACAATAGTGTAGTTCTGCCACAGAAGACGAAATTTCTATATACCTGAAAAATGACTAACAACATCTCTTTTGCCAGAATATACAGCCAACTTTGCCAAATTTTTGGTAAAGAAAATATATTAGAGAAGAGCACCCAAGACACAAGCAAATAGTGATGATGAAACCAATTGGATTTGAATACTCCCAATTCAGTGACGCATAATAATAATAATAATAATAATAATAAGAAGAATAATAATAAGAATAATAATGCATCCAGACATCTTTGTGAATCTCAAAATGACTGGAATTAAAACTAAGAGGCCATTGACGCTGCCTGTGGTTCTCTATAAACACGTCAGTTTACAGTCACAGCACTGCTTTGTGGGAAAGAGACTGAACAGCAAACAGATGACAGAACAGAAACAGGCGATTACAACAGATGAGAGAGATTACAACAGCTCACAAAAGAAGGCACACCTACCAGACCAGCCAAATCACTAAGCAGAACTTATCCAAGCAGAGCTGCTTTTTATCACGATGACCAACCATGAAGCCCTGCTTTTCTCTCAGGTTCTTCTCAGGCCAAGATTAGAAGTGTTTATAGAAAGGTCAAGGCTGCCTCTTGTAATTATTAAAAGAGTGAAGAGAATAAAGTGAAAGTCATTACCAACCTTGTTCATACAAAATAGAGCAGCACTAACATTATTATTAATATTAATATTAATAAATGTTACTCAATATTAACTTGTACAGTGCAGGGTATAATGTTATAAATCAGACACCAAAGTGTAAAACAATAGTTTATTCATAGTTTAATACTATTTTGAAAAGTGCTGACATGGTAAAATATTAAAAGATTCAAATGTTATTAAATGATAAACTACTATGTATAGAAACTTCTTGTCACTAAATTACTATGAATAGACATTTGATCAGGAAGACTTGGTCACTACTTTTCGAATATTAGGTATTCATTTTAGTTTATTCTTGATGCTATACAGTTTTCCCAGTCATGGAATCACCTACAGCTCTGTTCATCATGAAAATATTTCTTCGCTTCCCTCAAATAGACTGAAACCTATGGAACATTAGCATAAAATTAAAATAATTTTATACACACAGGTACCTGCACCAAAAATGGCTTTGTATATTCAAAATAGAAATGTTAAACATCAATATTTTGCCGCTAATTTACCCATGTATCAAAGAACAGGGGTGATCTAATTAACTTCTGCCTTACAAATATGTCTGTCTTTTATGTAACAAATGGGGCAATACTGGTTACAACAATACACAGCTTTTATTCTACAAAACAGCTTGAACACAGTGACTCAGCCTGTGCTTGCTTCAAGGAAGATTATCAGCTGTTTGGTCTGGTCTATTTTTAAACGATTCCCGCTCGCCGATAGTTACGATAACTACACTCCATTAGATGAGAGTTAACCAGTGCCCGTGGACAGATCTTTTAATAAATTCCAGGAAATGACTCCACTATCTAAAATGGACACGCTGCTTTGCACGCTTAAATAAATAGTGACTCCAGACTTATCACCTCAGCCTTATAGTTCTATGAAATCAATGTACCCCTCAGGGTCACTGCCTTGAAGTCGTCCCGCTTATGGCAAGCTGTTGTCACTTAAAGCAGCTGAGGATGACTCATCAGGAAGATGCCATTCAGGTGGCATTAGACTGCAGCAAAAAGCTCATCTGAAGTAAAACGAAAGATCAGTTGTTTGAACTGATGTAGGTCAATGACTACAGCTAGTGGTCTAAAGAGCATAGAACAAAGTCGGTCTTGGTTAAGTTACATGGGTGTGTGTCTTGAGATATCAGCCAAGGCAACTGTGGTCAAGGTCTCAGAAACCACAGCGTGATTGGGTAGACACAGGGTCTGCTATCTAATGTCTGGAATGTGTGGGCTATGAATAGAGAACACTTTGGACTGTGAAAAGTGTCGGAGTCAAATATACCTTAACTTGAACTCAATGAGTTCAGGTGGGGATACAGATGAGAACAGGGCAAAGCATCAGACAGTAATGAGTGTGGAAGAGTCAGCTGAGTGTTTTTTTTAATTAAAATATTGACATATATGTGTGGACTGACTGTGCAAAGTGAGGATAATGCTAATCAATCTACGGTAAGATGTCTTGCTGGTGTGAAAAATTCCAAATGAAATTAACCGAATGAAGGTACTGTATAATAACTTGTATAATGAAGACACATTTTAAGCCACATCTTTTATCCTTAATTAAATTAAACATAATTTCAAAAGGAAACCACAACAACTTAATGGTTTAGTCTGTGTTTTAGCCCACACAGCCTCATTTACTCAGGTTCACAGCCTCTTTCAGCTGGGATTCACATGGTATAATATTTGATTATTATAATAAGCCCTACTTCAATAAACAAATTGTCCAATCCTGTATACAGACCTGGGCACAGCATGTACTATCTTATCTAATGAAGCTCTTGTTTGATTGGTTCATGGAGGAAAACATGATAAGAACTGTGCTGAGCTAGTGTGCGAGATAAACAAACAACTAGCAAATGAAATGATCGCAGGGACAGAGTGGTCTCTCAGTCATAAACAGCAGCAAGTCACAATGAGGTCCTGTGCCATGTAATGTTACACTGCTGTCTGCCTAGCCTGACCCACTGCTCTCTCTCAGACTAAAAACAGCACAGTCACCCTTGTGAAATGCTGATTCTAGAGTTCTAGAAAGTCTTTATGTCTGAAGGGCTAAAAGGCCCATTTAAATGATCTAGTATCAATATCAGAGGCATGAGACAGAGGGTCAATACAACTGTATTCCCATTTCCCATTTCACCCTGTTCTTCAGTAATCAGGACCCCCGCAGGACCACCACAGAGCAGGTGTTATTTGGGTGGTGGATCATTCTCAGCACTGCAGTGACACTGACGTGGAGGTGGTGTGTTAATGTGTGTTGTGATGGTACAAGTGGGTCTGACACAGCAATGCGGCTGGAGTTTTTAAACACTGTCCACTCACTGTCCACTCTGTTAGACACACCTACCTTGTTGGTCCACCTTGTAGATATAAAGTCAGATATGACTGCTCATCTGTTACTGCACAGTTTGTGTTAATCATTCTCTAGTCTTCCATCAGTGATCACAGGGTGCTGCCCACAGGGCACTGCTGGCTGGATACTTTTGCTTGGTGGACTCAGTCCAGCAGTGGCATTGAGGTGCTTAGAAACACCAGCAGCACTGCTAAGTCTGATCTACTCGTACCAGCGTAACACATACGAACACGCCACCACCACGTCAGTGCAGTGCAGAGAATGATCCACTACCCATATTATATATATATATATATATATATATATATATATATATATATATATATATAAACACTTAAGAACATATAAGAACACATAAGAACAAATATATGAACACACAACCCCATTCCTGTATTCCCCCTATATCACATTCCCCCTATATATTCAAAGAAAAACATCTCCATTTTTGTTGATTGTTATTTTTCTACATCACTGAACATAGCAGCTGTCCTTTATCCTTACTGGGTGAAGCTTAATGATAAATGGACCAATAGAAATGTTTCAGAGTTACTTGGAATAAAAACCCTATACATGCTTTATTTGAAATTGTTCATAGAGCTGTCTGAAAAGGCTGCATTTCACACAGCATGGACTGAGCGTTTTCGTACAGTGTGAGTATATAAATCGTAGGCTTTGTCTCTAGACGATGGTCTATTCAAACGTACAGACTCACCAAAGAACAAAATTTCTAAAATCACAGTGTATGTCTGACTTTGGAGGACATTCAGCAACAGCCCAACCAGCCAAACAAATACTTCAGACATAAAACTCCACACAAGCATCCACTCCTCGGATGCTTCAGCCTTGGATGTGATTCCTGCCATCACTGAGCTACAGAGGCTATGCTGAAAGATACAGATAATAAGCAAAAATGCTGTACAGATGCACTTTCTTGACGTGGAACAAAACCTGCTCTTCTCCACTGTAACCTCACTCAATAGAAGGTAGCGCACAACTCCTTAATTCTAAGTAGGTTACTCAGTATGGTATTGGATTCGGGATCGGCGAGAACTAAAAATATGTACCCTTACTCAGTATTGATGCATGCCTAGATAAGACTATAGGAAATCTGAACTTTTGCCAAAATGAACAGATATGTTCCATTTCACAAACGCTTGCTTTCCAGCAGTAAATACTAACCATTTCTGAAATTCACATACATTTTTCAAAGATTCATCTTTTCACTCAAATTGTTACACTGATTATGTGATTTGTAATGAAAAAAGTATTAAATTACATTTTCACTTGGGGATCAGACCCACTGTATTTATACAAACCCCATTACAAAAAAGTTGAGACAGAAGGAAAAATGCAAATAAAAACAAAAAGCCATTATTTATACGAAATGTTTGAAACTCCACTGTCTTTTCGTAACTGTTCGCTCATTCTGACACTGATGCCTGCAACATTTTGGAACAGGGCAATTTAAGACTAGAAACACTGTGAAATGTTTAAAAAACATCTTTAACAGGTAGCACAATTATGCTTCCATATAAAAGGAGCATCCAGGAAAGGTCTAGTCCTTCATGAGCAAGAATGGGTAATGGCTCGCCACTTTGCCAAAAATGCATCAGCAAAGAATCTAGCAGTTTGAAAATATCATTCCTCAACTAGGGATTGCAAGGATTTTAGGTGTTTTACACTATATAGTGCATCATATCATCAAAAGATTCAGAGAATCCAGAAAAAGTTCTGGATGTCTCTGACCTTCGACACCTCAAACAGTACCGCATTACAACCTAGCATGTTTTACTGATAAATAACATAACAAGGGCTTGGGAAACGTTGTCAATAAACACAGTCTGTCACTGCATCCACAAACGCAAGTTAAGACTGTACTATCCGCAGCTCTCAGGGCTCGAGCTGATCTAAAATGCACAGTGGAAATGTGTACTGATGAAGTCTTCTTAGGGTTGTTTACATATGTTTATTTAATTGACAACATTAAGCAGCATTCTGCACGTGTTACAAGAGCATGGCTGCATAATCAGAAAGTGGGAGTACTAGACTGGCCTGTCTGCAGCCCCATCAAAAAAACGTCTTATTAAGCTCAAAATGCGACAAAAAAGGCCCTGTATGGGTGCTCAGCTGAAGACTTGTACAACTGAAGAACGGCAAAAAATTATGCAAAAGGAAAGGTGAACCAACTTTTTCGAATGTGTTGCAAGCATAAAATTCGGAATTAGTGTATATTTACATAAAACAATTTCATTTGTAGGTTATTTTATCGATAAGATATATTGCGTCATGTTTTTGTTCTGTTTTTAATGTAATACAGGTCAAACAGATTTACTAATATCACTGCTTTCTGTTTTTATTAGTATTTCACATTCTGTCCCAACTTTTTTGGACTTGTGGTTGTGTGTGTGTATACATACACAACCACAGTTTGTACACACACAACCACAGAGAGAGAGAGAGAAAGAGAGGGAGAGAGAGAAAGAGAGAGAGATGGTTATACTACATATATAGTGCATTCTGAGCACCAGTTTCTCTAAGACAAATTCTTTGTAAATGCAAATGTACCAGGCCTATAAAGTGATTCTGATACTGCGTGGGGGATTTACATTAATTACACAGCATGTTCAGTCTCCATTACTCTGTAATACAAACACACCATGTAAAAGCTCCAGCCTAATTGATCAGTTAATCCAGTGTTACAGAGCAGTCACCTATTAGACAGGATCAGGCATATCCACCTGTCAGCACATGGTCAGGTTGCAACAAATTCACAAAAGGAAGAAAAAAAAAACAGCTACACTCAGCCAGGAAAAGGCCTAAGTCGATTTCTACTGTTCTACTGCCAAAAACATTGCAGGCCAAAAACCAGCGAGCAACACTGCACTTAATATCACAATTGTAGTCAACTGAGATTATTAAAAATGAGTAATAATGGAAAAATCTTTATTACAAAAGCATTGTTCAAAAAAAAAAAAGAACACGAGATTTTTTAAAACTTCCAGAGTCCCCCTGCCAGTCTGATAAAGTACTGAATGCATCACTGTATATAAACATATATATATTTTTCTCCAATATTCATTTGAGACACAAAACTTTAAGGTTATGGTTCATGTAAATTGTTTGCCCTGGCTTACTGTTGAGTTTATCTAAAAGAGCCTGTCAACACTCAACATGTTCAGGGGCTACAAGCTACTACATTTTCGAAAAACAAAGAAAGCTTCTGACTGCCTCAGTGATATCCGGCACATGATGAGAAGTCTGATAAGGCCCTGTACAAAGTCAAATGTCTAGGTGCCCTCAAAGCAACGTGGCAAGAGTGTGAGTCATGTATTGATACTATCGAAGTGACATTCACTATCATTTATTGGCATCTATTTTAAGCCTGGTCTTAACATTATGGTTTTGAGTGCACTGTAAATCCTATACTGCCAATAACATTAAAGTCAGCTGACCAATCACAGCATTCTGCAGGAGCAAAGGCAGAAAAGCTGATATAAGGAGCCTACTAGGATGTCTTGGAAGAAAGGTAGAGCCCAGGTGCGCATCCATTCTGTCCAAGAGACCCATCTGGTGACAAGCCTGCCAAGGATGAGCGTTGGCAACTTTGACACAAGCATGGATAATCACACATCAGCAGAATCGTCAGGGCAGGACTAAACAGCAACTACTGCAAGACTGGCTGGTTCCCTAAAGAACCTTTTAATGGATGGTTCTTCAAATAACTATATTTGTATATGAAGTGTGTGAGTGTAAAGAACTTTGAAAGTTTGAAAGTTTTTACACCAATTTTACAGTTTTATTTAACAGTAGCGTAAAATTTATTCTGCACTCTAAATGTAGATATTTTTGAGAATACGCTGTACTCTACACTTTCTTATTTGGTTGAATGAGACATCTGTCAGTAATCTGTAAAGCTTGTCCAACCACACAATGGTAGCTACGAGAGGTCAACTCAGACATGCAGGGATTGCCATACGATACCTATGTCCCACATTTCAATGTGACTCTCATATCAGGATGCTGATAAAATGCCACAATGACTCAAAAACAAAAAACTGCCTTAAGCAAGAACCATGAAACTGAATGACTACGGACAAACTGTGTGGGCCAAAGACAATGACAGATATTTAACTGCTCCGAACAACTTGTATGTATGTAATTAAAAGCTGGCAGCCTCTGTGGTTAATGGAGAAAAACAGAAGCAATGAGAAGAGGAAGTAAGCTTCAGTGGAGCCCCAGCTCTAGCATTTCACTAAAAGCTGAACACACAGCGTCCATGTTCTCAGTGCCTGAGACACATTTCATCAGCACTCGCCTTTTCACACTGATCTGAGACCTGCATGTTTTTGATTGTGTTGTTTAGTGGCTGTGGTTACAGCTGAAGAGCAGAGAAGAAGATCCTCAACATGTTCAAAGTCCATGCTAAGATGTGCTGCCAGCTGAAGAGGAACGCTGGATTGTATTTCTGTGGTTTACAGCATACTCAACGTAGGGCAGGGGTGATAAACGGCATGAGTGTGTCCCACGTGTTCTGTGTTAGGTTAAAACAGGTTGTAAATAGTGAAACGTGTGAAAGGTCACCTACCAAAATTCTGGAAAGAAACAGAGCTGATGCAAGCCAATGAGTCACCGTGAGAGGGAAATTATGAAATTCCTGCAGTGACTGTTTGATTTTGGAATGTGCTAATGCTCTTCTAGGCTGATGTGATGTTTCACCATGCACCACTTGTCAAACATTCATCAAAAGTTTAGCTCTGTCCTCATTTAAAAAAAGACTAAATCAACCCAGCTTTTATATTTTTTAAATATTTTTTGTAATAATTAACTGGTAATGAAGAATAAGATGAACAGCTTTGAATTGAAGGGAAGCTGTCTAATTTGCTTTAATATTTACCATTTCCCATCTTCCTCTGATGTTGATCATTTGTTACGGAGCTTAATAAGGACAATAACAGGCTCAGTAACACGTTGCACTCTGATGATGCCACGTGCGCTTGGCCAAATTATAACAGCAGAGACAACTGTTGCATGTGCCGTGTACATCCCTTGCTTGCCTGAGACAGCGTGAAAAGATCTGCTCTTTTTCGTCCCCTTAAATGCATGAGGTTTTTGTTAGCGGGGGAATAAAAACAGGAAGGGAAAGCAAGAGGACTGGTGGAAAGAGAAAAAGATAGGAAGCATGATAAAGAATAAGCGAGAGACCAAGGGTGACAGAGAGAGAGCGAGAGAGAGAGAAAGGGGGAGGGATGAAGCAAGTTAGAGAGTGAGAGAAAAAAAGGGAAAAAATCTGAAAGAGAAATGCTGAGAGATAAAGTGGCAGCCTACCTCACATAGAAAGGAGATATTGGCCTCTCATCCTCTTGGGAGCTGCAACACGACAAAAAAACAAAAACATGGGTTAGGATCATGCAACAGCACGACATAAACAGACCAAGCATTTGCTAGACGATTCAAAACATTGTTCTGAAGCACATGGGAGTATTTCTGAGTGGCTTTTGTCTGGGGAACAATGGGTGCCTAGTGCCCCAGTTCAATGCCTTTGTGCAGTCTGTCTCCAGTAATTACTATAGCCAGAGAGAGCCATGTAGCACGCTGTGGAGCTCTGCCAAAAACACATGATAAATTATGCTATGACAAAAGGCATCTACGCTGCTTAACACACAGCAAGAGGCTCAGTATTCAATTAACTCTTATGGTATTCATATGTGTCCAGCTAGACCTGAACACTATATGTGTTAATTCATCCATGTAGGTGTTAATACATCACCATAACTCAACATTGTAAGTCAACATTCAACACTATAAGTCATGCTTCAATTATACTGGTCAACATTCAACACAATAGATCATCATTCAACAATGTAGATTATTAATTAACATCACAGTGCTTCTTTTAACACTGTAGGTTATAATTAAACAACATAGATCATCATTCAACACTACAGCTCATTACTCAACAATGCAGATCATCATTTAACATCACAGGTCATCATTCAACACTACACGTCATCATTCAACACCACAGGTCATCGTTCAACAATGTAGGACATCATTCAACACCACAGGTCATCGTTCAACAATGTAGGACATCATTCAACACTACAGGTCGTCATTCAAGACTACAGGCCATCATTTGACACTGTAGTTCATGACTAAACACTACAGATCATCATTCAACACTGTAGTTCATGACTAAACACTACAGATCATCATTCAACACTGTAGATCATCATTCAACACTCCAGCCATTCAGTACTAAAGGTCATCATTCAATACTACAGGCCATCAATCAACACTGCAAATGATCGTTAAACACTCCAGGTCATTATTCAACTCTATGCGTCATCATTCAGCACTGTAGATCATCATTTAACACTGCAAATTATCATTTAACCCTTGCAGGTAATCTGTCAACAATATAGGTCATCATGCAACATGGTAAATCATACCTATAACCTTGTGGAGAACGAGAAACAAAAACACAGTGATTGTAACAGGATATAATAGGGAACATTACTTCTATTCATACACAGGATTTTATTTCAGAAGCCCTTTCGATGAATGTAGTGACTGCACATATATTCACAAGCAATATAATGACAATATGGTGTTTTGTTTATATCATGTTTAATAAATCTGTAGTTTGAGGGGTTAAATCAACCTATTAGTACTAATAATAGGGGTGGGAATCTTTAGGCACCTCACGATTCGATTCGATTACAATTCAGAGGGCTGTGATGCGATTATAAAACGATTATCGATGCATCTCGATGCATCTTTTTTTTTCTATACAGGATTTCTATTTTCCTACTGTGTGAGGACTTGGTAGTTTTAAAGCAAAGTATTTGTAATGATCCATAATGCATTTACTTCCAATATCTTTTATTAATAAATCAAATGAAAGTGATGTGGCAAGTGAACTAGAAGGCTCTCATTAAAAGTAAAGTCAGTAAAATATCTTCGAGACTGGACGCTGAATCTCGGCTCCAAAGTGTGCATAGCGTGAAAGCCCTGGTTCTCAACGGCTGAGAACTGGCCTGCCGACTGCAGGTCACATAGCAATGAAGTCTCTAGCTCTAGTAGTAGCTACGAAAAGACAGACAGAGATTTAAGACGAACATTTGGAGATGAATGGACTTATTCGCATTTATAAGCAACGTAGTTGGTTTCCTGGTACGTTAAATCTGCAACGAGAGACTGTCAAACACTAAAAAGTTGTTAAGATGAAGTCAGCTTCTCTTTTGAATTTTTCCGTTCCAGCTTAAATGCTGCAGCAGTTACATTCGGTGCCTCAGGCAGAATTTAAGGTGGAACGGGAAAATTTGAACGAGAAGCTGGAGAATTAGACGCAACTTCAGCCTCGAAAAACAATCAAACGTTGAGAGACATTTTACAAGAAACTGATCTACTTTTGAGGAAAAGTTTCCTATCGGAGATGGGAGCAAAACGGCTATTAAAGCTTAAAGCAGAGCAAAGTAAACTGCGTTTTCGTTTATATTGTATAGCCTTTACTAGGACATTAAATGTTGTGGCTCCCAAGGTGGTTAGATTTTTGTTGAAAGGACAAAATGGCTCTTCTTAACATTTGGGTTGTGACTCCTGACCTGACCTGGCTTTAAATACAGAGGGAGCCGGTCGGATTTCTCACTCATCCACTTGTGTTTTTGTTATGTGCCGTCAGAGAGTGTCCGGGCGCTGCACTTCCCCGCTTACCCACAAGTTCTGCCTTTTACGTTCCGTCAACATTACGTTATATTTTTATATTTTTACATTGTAGTTTATTTATGAATCGATTCAGAATCGTTCACGTCCGCATCGCGATGCATCTAAGAATCGAGTTTTTCCCCCACCCCGAACTAATAAGGTACATATTCTGAGATTCTTGACTTGACACTAAGGACTGCTAAGCACCCTGCAGCAAGACACTTAACATCACATTGCTATAGGACTGCTGTGACAGGACACCTCAGAATTTCGTTTGTGTTAAACAATATAAATGTGGAACTGCATTGTTATGGCCTAGTCACTTGGCACACAACATTCAAAAATACGTGCCGCGCCTTCACGTAGGCCATCAAAAAAAGCTGTGTGCAGGGGTGGTGGAAGAAAATAATCTGAATACACTGTACTTCAACTGCCTACCAGTAAGGATTTAGGTCTGGCTCACACAAGAATGAAAAAGGGGGCCAAGGTTCAAGCAACTTCAAAAAGCTCACCACATGACTGCCTGTGCTGAAGAAATTTATGAATGCACTAGCACATATGTGTGTGTGTGTGTGTATGTGTGTGTGTGTGTGTGTGTGTGTGTGTGTGTAGGACTGGTGTTCCCACCCACAAAATAGCATAACACACCATTTTTTTTTCTATCTACAACAACGTGTGTACGTCCCATTCTGAAATCTCCTTGGCATTAACTAAAGCGTACAGGAAATTGCACAATATTTCGGCATTCTGAGGCCAATAGTTTTCCACTGGGTGGTGTTACAGTCTGGTGAGGGTATTAAACTAATGTGTGTACCGCTGTGAATTACAAAACGAAAATCCTGCTTACCTACTACCTTAGTGAGGGAACAATGGTAACCTTCAACAAAGCTTTGCTCATTTAGAAATTACAAAAAAGTGACGAGTCAACTAGATGGAGCTTCCGTAATGTTTTATCCGTGATGTTACTTCAATCTAATGATAATTACTATCTGGACAAAGTACAACTCCAAATGTATAGATGTTCAGTCACCAATACAGTAAAAAGATAAACCCAGTAGGGCTGGGAGATGTGATGATATTTTATTGTGATATTGTGATTATTGTGATAAATACATCTAAGCCAGGGGTGCCCAATCCTGGTCCTGGAGATCTACTACCCTGCAGAGATTAGTACCAACCCTAATCTCACACACTTGATCCAGGTAATTAAGGCTTCCAGGTGCATCTGACTACTAGAGCCAAGAGCGTTAGATCTGAACTCTTCCAGGGTGGCAGATCTCCAGGAACAGGATTGCGCACCCCTGAGCTAAGCATTTTGTGGATAGCGTCATGCCATCTGCATGTTTCATCATCTGTTTAATTGGATTTAGTGCAGAGCAATTTGTGAAACATAAACATAAACTTTTTAATTGTTATTAAAAATACTTCAGAACAATTATTTCATAATCACGATGCATTTTGTGTATAGACAAAGTATTGTAACACTGTATTTTTGTAATATTGCCCACTCTAAAATGCACTCACATCATACAATGAAAGGAATGAAGGGGTGCTAACTGGTACTGCTAACATCCATTTCTCCTTAACATTAGCAGTGTTTAAACAAATTATGTATTTTATTCAAACATAACTGTTAAAGTTGACACTAAATTAGGGCACAAGTATTTCTTCTTCCCTTTTAACCTCCATGTTAGAGCGTATAGTGTTTTTAACCCCTTAAACCCTAAAGGAAGTTACATTTTCACTCATTCACAAATATCGACAAACATCCACTATTTAGTTTTCAGCATCCAGAGCTTGTTTCACTGGACAAGAACTAACTGGTTCAAATCAGATTTTGTCAGAATTTGCCAACTGTAATGTTAACATTACCACCATGATAGCTAACATGATACTGAGTGAAGACTCCTGTCTAGAACTAAAACATGGCTTTACTGAAACCTGAATGAAGAAAAATGTGTGTAAATGTGAATCAGATCAAATGATCCAATCTAATAAATACAGTAAACATGTTTCTACAATTCCAGCCACAAATTCTTAAGTTTTGAAAAAAATTTCATTGACACGGTTGCCCAAGTGGCTAGGGCAAAAATCTGTCTAACCCTGCCTAAGACTCTGTATGTGAGCCAGTTCTTCAGTTCGTCACTCTCATAATTACATAACTTATTAATTACATTGTAGTTACTAAATAATCTAGTAGCTGCTGGATGCTAAGTCTTAACATTAATAGTTGAATAATAATCCCACAGTTGACTGGGTTATATGATAACAGTAATTAGGCAACATTTTCCTGACACATTTCCACTAAAAGACTTTGTCGCGTTTCACTAATATTTCTGGCTGATAAGCTCAGCTAAGCTTCCTGGTTTCATGCTCAAGCAGGCAACTTTAAAGTCTGCATGCCCTGGCAATGAGGGATGTCAAACCAAGCAACACATCAGTGTGGGTTTCTCTCTACAAGTGACAGCAGTAGGAACCATATCCTGCTCCCTGTGTGTATGCGTCCAGGATGTGTGCGTGCAAATGTTTTAATACCCAAAGCACAGTTCAACAACGTCAGACATGAGAGCAACAAACAGATACAATGTGTTCGTACTCAATGTCCTGTGTCAAGAAGAAAAAACAATAGCTTCAACAAACATGCTAATGTGGCTGACAGGGAA